GATAAATAACATAGTTATGTATAATATATTACATTTCTGACTGTATATCCCGGTAATTATTACACACTGTAGCTTTAAATACTGTAGTTTTAAAATCCTTGAGTTTAGAGCTAGATAAGTAACAGTGTGTAATTCTCTCTCTCTCTAATTATCCATAATATTATTATGCATTAATTAGTAGTTTTACCAGATTGTCTGAAAAAAAGTCATTCATTCATTGTTATCAGGATTCATTAATCTTTTTCTCAAACTAAATATATTTTTGCCCTACCTGGTGAGGGAGCATTTCTTGGCAGGGTTACGACTTTAAACTTTACCTTAAGTTGATATCTGTTCTCTCTGGTTGTGTCCTTGTGATGCTGTTTGGAGATTGAAACACATTTTGTAAGACATGAATTATTTCTCTTAAGCAAGATTTGATGGGGTTAACAGTTTTTATTTAACCCAAATGCTCCCAGTTGGTGTAATTATCAAATGGCGTGGGATTATTTTCCAGTGTTACGTTGATGACACTGCTTTATTTGTCCAAAAATCCTAAAAAAAAAAACAGAGTATAGACATAAAAACCTGGATGACTAACCTTTCTGTTTTTGAATGCAGACCAAATAGGTCAAAGTCTTTTAAAGAGGGTGATTTTTCAGTCCCTTCATCAAACCAGTCTCAGCTAACAATGTAAAAAAAAAGAAAGAAAAACTAGTTAAACTAGTCAATGAATCTGTTATTTGAAGGCTGGACTATTGTAATTCTCTACTATCAGGAAGTCCACTAACTGTGGTTAAAAGCCTTCAGCTGATCCAAAATGCTGCAGCCAGCATTCTGATGAAAACTAAAAAGAGAGTTCATATTTCTTCTGTCTTTCCCTTAATTTGCTTCCTGTTAAATCCAGATTATAATTTAAAATGCTCCTTTTCATGTTTAAAGCCCTAAATAACCAAGCTATGCATTGCATCAGAGATCTGGTTGTTTCTTATGTTCCAAACAGAGGACCTCTCTTTCAATCTCTAGATTTACTATCTGTTCCTAGAATTTAGTTGAAGTAGAATTGGTGGCAAATCTCTAAGGTATCACGCTCCTATTCTTAAAACCTTCCTTTTGATAAAGCTTATAGTTAGAGTGGCTCAGGTTATCCTGAGCTATCTCTATAGTTATGCTGCTATAGGCTTAGACTGCTGCAGGACATAGGGACCCTTTTTTTTTTTTTTTTTTTTTTTTACAGTGTCCTGTCTGGCAAGGTGGCAATAAGAATAATTGTCTTGATGCCAAAAGGAGCCCAACAGATTTTACTTTCACAAGTGTAGCGGTATGGCAATTGCCATACTGCTCCACTTGTTTCATGTATATAAATTGCTTTATTATAATTATGCAAGGAGTTTTACAGTTCATATGGACACTGCAATGTAAGTAGAGCAGAAAAACAGAAGAAGAAAAAGGAAAAAGAAAAAGAAAAAAACAGGACAAAAGATGAAAGAAAGAGGAGATAGGAAGGAGACAATGACAAAACATTTTCAGTCTGCTTCAACACCTGTAATGAGATGGAAAAAAAAAAAAAAAAAAAAAAAAAAAAGAACAGCACAACCAAAAAACATGGTACGAGATATACAATAAAGCAAACACCTTGAAACTATCGCTAACGTAATATTATTAAGTCTGACATGTACTCTGTGTTACTTGAAGATATGAATGTGGGGTTTCTGTTTGGAAGTGAATCTCTAAGTACCTGAAGCCTAGCACCTGTAGTTGTTTGTGAGGGTGAACTTGTGCATGTAAAGTTTTAACCATAGAAAAAATGCTCAATAGTGGTTGTGGAGAGCCGGAGAGGCACACCCCCCAGAGCACTGAGTCCAGCGCCGGGAGACCCAAAGCCCCAGGCGCCCAAGGGGACCCCAGAAGCGAAGGCACCAAGGCGGGGCCAGCCCCGGAAACCAGACCCCACCAAGGCAGGAGGAGAGACAGCCACGAAGAAGCCCCCCAGCCACCGCCATGCCGGCGCCCCGGGGAGTCGCGGGGACGAGTCCGCGGGCCCCGCGGGCCGCCTCCCCCGCCGCCCGCACCAGGCCCTGACACGCGGCCAGAGCAGCTCCGCCGCCCCGGCCCCCCACCACGCGCCGGCCATAGCCACTCCAGGCCCCCACCCGAACAGGCTATTTATTATTCTGTGGGGTAGCGGCAGCCTACGGCGACAGCTGGCCACTGTGAGAGCAAATCCCATAGCGATTTGCAAGGTAGCTCTCCACGCATAGTATTCTGGAATATGTCTGCCTCTTCTGAGGCCTTTCTTTTCTTCTCATACACTTTGTAGACACTTTTTCTCTTATGACCCTCGTCCATTTTCAAAGAGAAAGTGAGAAAGTGAGTGAGAAAGGTGAGCTTCAATGACTGTATGAAACTGTAGTTCACCACAGATATACGCCTGAAAGTGCGAATGCGCACAAAAAGAAAGCTAATGGGATGAGAAAGTAGGACTGCCTTACATAAACATATTACCAGAATGATTGACAATTAAGTGGACCACTTATTTCGATGATCCATGGATGATCCACAGCGGACCCTCCAAGGAAACCTGCAAACGGGGGGTTAGTGCTCAGGGTTAGTGTATAGGGGCCGGTCTGGGCCTCTCACTAAGCTTTTGGAGAGAGTTTGCTGCCCTGGAAGTAAAGAGGCAGATCAATTTTGCACACCACACTCTTCAGTTTTATATTTGTTAAAAAAAATGATCAAATAAATTTTGTTCTGTTTTATGATTGTGTCCCACTTGTTGATCCTTTACAAAAACTTACAATTTTACATCTGTATGTTTGAAGTAGTGTTGCACCGATACCGATACCAGTATCGGACGGGGCCCAGATACTGCCCTAAAATGGTGGTATCGGTATCAGCGAGTACCAACAAATAGGGCACCGATACCATTTTGAGAGCCATAAGTTTATTCAACTATTGTCACCCACTCCTGGTAGGCAATAAAAAGTTCTACTGGATTCACTTTGTATTAGATTTTTTCCTGCTTCACAAAGGTAGGCAGCAGCTTGACAAAGCCATGGTGGCAATTATTTTACATTATTATTGTTGGGAGCTGGAGAAGTTCCACCTTTCTCCAGCAGAGTCCGCCGTGGATCCTCCTGAGTGAGCCTTCTGCACAGCTGCAGCCCATCAGATCATCAGAGGATCCACTACATAAGCTGTCTTCAGACCTTGCCTCAACGCCGCAGTGTTGATCCAGTTGGTCAGCGCCTAAGCCTAGACTCTCAGTGAATCTTTGTGACCTTGAATCCAGCCTGGATTCTAACCCTTGTCTCTGTCTTCCAGGAAACCAGTTTCTCCTCTGTGGAGCTCAGGAAGAGCTAACCTGCCGAGCCGACCCTCAGAGCCAAACCTGAAGAACCTCAGTGAACTTCCATGCAGCTCTGGACTAAGAGCTGGAAAACCCAAAGCCAAGGTCTGCTCAGAACTAGAAGTAAGACGCTGAAGCAGCTAACGGACTCAGCTGATCAACTCCTCTCCAGATCCAACAGTGACCCTCTCAAAGTAATCTACAAGAACCCTCAAGGTACAATCAGTAACAATCAAGAACGCAAGCTCCAAGGTGCAACGCTAACTGATCTGTCTCTCACGCAGACTCCGGTGAACCAGTTTCCAGGCCCGAACCAGAACCAGTCATATCAGTGTGCTTGTGACAAAATAAACTTGTTAAACTTTTACTCCTGTGTCCATCTAGTAGTGTTCTGCATATTTGGGTCACTCTTAGTGTACCCATCATGACAATTATGGTATCGGCCGATACTGCACAGCCAGGTATCGGGTATCGGGGCCAAAAAATGGCATCGGCGCAACACTAGTTTGAAGCCAGAAATGTTCAAGAGGAACAAAAACTTTCTCAAGGCACCATACTGTGACTACCTGTGCTTCCTTTTAGCCTTTTGACGTTAAAAATGGCTGATAGCTCATCAGCTTATCTGTTGCTCTCCAGATGCACCTATTGAGCAAGTGGAGCTCATTTAAACCCCAAGTCAGCCTCAGCACAAGGCCACACATTGAGCCTGGTTCTGCTGGAGGGTTGAAAGGGGAGTTAAAACTCCCTTTTAACTCCTGTTAAAAGGGAGTATTTCCTCTCCAATGTTGCTGCATGCAAGTTCTGTGTGAGGGATTACTTTAGAGTCAACAAGATGCAAACGAATGTCTTATGGCACTCCGTGCCCATCCAGAAGAATCCTGCAATATGTTGGGTTTCCTGGATAGAAAAAAAAAGAACAATCTGATTGAATTGTGTCTGTAAAGTGCCTTGAGATTATACATTGTAAATTGGCTGTATGAAAATGAACAGAATTTAATTATTTACCATAACTAGACAGAAAAAATCCAGCAAAGGTGCAGAGATCTGGAATCTAAACCCAATTCAGCCGTTAAAAGAGAATTATCTCTGCAGCTTAATTACAATGAGCAGGTAAATGGCTCATATCAGCATTTGGTCCTAATTCTTCCTGAAGAAAGTTCTGATTTAATCAACAATTGCACATGGGGTCCTTTAATTGTGATACCGAAACGTTTAAATCACAGGTATCAAACTCCTGTCCTCAAAGGCAGGTGTCCTCGAGGGCAGGTGTCCTGCAACGTTTAGCTGCACCTCTGCTTTTAACACACCTCAATCAAATAATTAGATCATTAGCAGGACTCTGGGGAACCTGCCTTCATACTGAGGTGATAATTCAGCCATTTGATTAAGGTTTATAGGATCACAGACATATCAGTTGCAGGCTACCGGCATAAAACCCCCTGGATTAGACTTTTAGCTGCTACATCATGTCTGCAACCTTTCCGAACAATGAAACCAGTGCCCGTAAATCTGCCTAAGTATGCAACAAAAATTTTATTAGTATTTTGTTGGAAAAAAGCCAACCTTCAACCTTTAAAACTTAAAAAAAATAAAAAATAAATCAGAACCGAAACAATAAACGTGTGGCTCTGCAGCAGGGAACCACTCTGAAGAAAACAACAGAAGGCATGGCTTTTAAAAAGGAGTCTTTATGTATTTTTCTATGTGAAACATATGACTTTCTTACTACACAAATAGAAGCAGATAACCGTCAGAGACAGAGAGACCATGTCTGAGAAATAGGTACAGAACATGTAAAATACACATACTGGTATTATACAACTGTAAATTATTGCTTGTTTTTGCTACGTTGTTTTCTGGATTTCTACAATATTCAGACACGATATTCAGTTCTCAACAGAAACGTTACAACAGTGACAGTATTAACGGTATTATTGAGCTATTTAAGTTCCCCAGAAGTAAATGAAACATTCAAACCGATTCAATGTCGAACAACAAACACCAAGACAGTTGGTTTTGATCGAGCATTTTCAGAATACATGTGGTTTTTTTATTGTCTTTTTTTTTTTTTGCATTTCTCCCCCCCCCATTACAACAAAGCCAAGGAAAGCTATAACAAACTGCACACTGAGACTGGCCTCAGCAAGAAAAGAAATTAAACACTTGGCATATGTACATAAATATACATCTTCTTCTCAGTTGTGACCAAAGTGCACCAGTTTAAATCTTCATGATCACAGTAAAAAAAAAAAAAAAGGAAAGAAATATGTTTTCTCACGCTATGCTGCTTTTTTCTCCTTTATATCATTAAACTGCATCGGTTTTACCGCAGTTTAATGTCCAATCTGTCAAGAGAACTGCTTCTCAGAAAAAGAAAAACATTAAACAAACATAAAAACAAACAGATATATATTTTTTTCCTCTTGCCGTTCCGTCCAACCTTCCTTTAAATCTCGTACAAATATGCGTCCCAGCAGCACGCTCCTATAGATCCAAAAGGCCTAAAGGGTTCACTGGAGTGACTCACTGCAATATAATGTGCTGGTGAAAAAGGCTGACCAGGTGCTGAGTTTGAGATAAAAGCTTTGCCTCAAATAAAGAAAAAAAACTCCCAGTCTAGTACTGGCATACACACAGACCTGTTTTTTTTTTTATAATGTTATTCAGCCAAAGAAACGTTAGATATAAAGCTGCCAAACGACGTTGGATTCAGAAACCTGTTATAAGCATTTATTCCATTTTCCTCATCTGGTTAAACAAGCAGGTGAAAAATGCAACTAATTAATATAAAATGAGAAAAGAAACAGTAATAATCCGTGCAGTTGCGACGACGATGTGAGGCGAATAAATGCTTTGGTTGGTCATCTCATTTCCTCCCTCTTCTTTCACTCGTTCGGCTGCAAAAAGAATCAAAGAAACTTTTTTTTGGACATATTTACACAGCGAGAAGCAGCAAAATGTTGGTTAATTCATCCCACAATTCACCAAGAGAGAGAGAGAGAGATATTCTCAGTGCAAAACAAGCAGTTTGTCGGTTCCACAGAAAGCCTGACATACAGAAAATCAAACAATGGGAAAATACAAAAAAAAAAAAGAATCACAAAAACACTTGAAAAGGAGGGATGAATCATTCTCCAACCCATCAAGTTTTAACAAAACTCAAGCTTTTGATTCCACTAAACGCAGGTTCCCTGCCTTTACAGATGTAAAAAAAAAATAATAAAACATACACTTCAACTCAGCTCCTCTTTTCCAGAAGTAACTAGGCATGCAAAAGTGTCCGGGTATCAAATACAGAGTATGAATGTACATCCAGTTAGCAAAAAACATCTTTTAAAAACAACCCCCACCACCTAAAAAAAGAGACGACATAAGCAGAAACAAAGAAAGTTTAACAACCAGCGCGTTTGTTCGTCACATATGGAGCTTTGTTTTGAATGTGACATTAAATAGGTTCCTTTTTCTTCACATGAATTGTTAGTATTTGTGATTCAGTACATATTTTTTGTAACAGAGAATAATACATGCAGAGAAGAGCGGCAATATCACACACTCGGTCCTGATGCAGTACGGCAGATTTGAAAACAGGAGAAGTAGAAAAAAAGAGCAAATGTGAAAGGAAAGCTGTCCATGCGTTGAGAATGGTCCAGAACGATCATTGTACAGATGGCTGCAACTAGAAGGGAGGGGGGGGGGTTCAGTTGACAATGTAACGGACGAGCAAACATCTGAGCAGAACGAGAGCTGAGAGTGATGCGTGACAGGTGCCTGTATTCGGACAGCTATGTTCACCCCCTGTTGCTGAAAACCAAGGCGAGTAGGGGGGGGTTAGGTGGGTGGGAGGCAAGCGTGCCCGCCGCTCCCCACGCTGTCCGCAGAATGTGATGAGTGTTTGTGTGAGTGGTTCTCATCCATTCCCTTCCAGCCGCCTCATTCCATCGCCACGCTCCCCACAAACGCCGTCTTTCGAAGCAATGTTCGTTGGTTTGTTTTTCACTTGTAGTTGAACTGAAATGAGGGGCATCAACGCTCTCTGTGAGTGCAGAGACGAGAGAGAGACAGAGAGAGGGCAGGTGTGTCACAGGTTTCAAAGGGGCGGTCGGGAAGCCGCGGATGGAGGGTCCACCTTTAGTTGAAGACCGCCGGAGGCCCGTCGGGACGTCTGGTCTGGACGATCTGCTGCTTTGGCCGCACCGCCTCGTCCTCCTCCGTCTCACTCTCGCACACGTGAACGACCACGCTGGGGGTGGACTCTGTTCCAGCGTGGAGCTCATACTTTTCACCTAAGCAGGAAATACGAGACATGAGCAAAACGAGGACCCATTTCTGAGCTGAAACACAGACAGCTACAGAGGTGGACAAAAGGATTCACATCCTTCCAACCTTTACAAATCTGAACAATAACAACAACAACAACAACTGATTATTCAGTATAGTTTTTTCTATTAATAGATCATTTATTTACAAAAGCTTCTTTACAGGATTTATTCTTCTATGAACCTAGTCAAGCTAAAGCTTTCCCACTTGAAAAAAAACAGAACGGTTCAATTTGAGCTTAATTTTTGGTCCGAGTTGTTTTTTCTTTCAGCAAATCGCCTCACTTACAGTCTGTATTCTGATTACTAAATTAGTTGATAAATGTTCAAATCAGCAGTTAGTTGGATTAATTGTTTTCACCCCATTTCAATATATGAATAAGAAGAGGAATAAAAATAAAGGGGGGGGGGGTATCTGGATCATTTTAAATAATTCATTAAAACCAATTGCCTTCAGGAGTTTCCTAACTAATACAGAGATACCAGGTATTTTAGGTATTTCGGAGGTATCTTAATTGCAGTGTTAGATTCAAATGTATTTTTTTGAAAGGCTTAGAGTTTTATTTATTTATTTATTTTTGAGAAGAATATAAAAGAAACAGCATCAGGAATAAAGCTAACCTAAAGTGATAGATCAGATTAAGACAGCATTAATCAGAGCAGCAGCCAATGTGTTCTTGGCACAGAATGTGTGGAGGAGCTGCAGATATCCACAGCTCAGGTAGAACAATCTGTCAGTAGGACAAAAATGCTCTCCTTTTTACTTGGCAGATCCCAGCTGCAAATACAACAACACTGCTTGCTGAAGTTAGATTTATAACAGGGGAAATCAGAGCTTGCTGATCAGCAACACCCTTAGTATCCAACATTGCTGCTGAACAAAAAAGTTAAAATAAAAAACACATAAGGTAATAAGATTTGTTTGGACTTGTGGTGGTTTGCATCACGTCAAACTACACAGATTGCTTTAAGGCAGCTTTCTTTGTATTGCTAATACTCGCTAGTAACACAGTTATAAGGAAATCTCTCTTTTTTTCCTCTTGCAGCCGTCTAATCTCAGCTGCGACATAGGCTCAGGGGGGTTCTAAATGCAAACCATTTTAGCTCAAGTGGTAAGTCACCCATCCTGACGACAGGAAGACTGGGTTCATATCCCAGCTGGGGAGAATGAGCTGCCGGTGGGGGTCCTTAGGCAAGACCCTTCACGCTAATGCCTGCTTTGTGGAGTTGCGGTCTAGTGGTTAGGTTCCAGAGTTCAAGCCCCACGGACTGCCACTCCGGGTCCCTGAGCAAAGACCCTCAAAAAGCAATAACAAACTGAGCTTTAAGGGTTGCACCAGGCATGCACCAGTCAAAGTAAAAGATGCTCCAAAAAGAACAATCACTCAGAGCATTAATTCACAATAAAAAAAAGAAAGAAGCCCGTTTCCAAAAATAATCCTTCTGCATTTGGTCCAGATGCCAAGCTCAGTGAATAAAAACATTCACATGGTAGATTGTATCTCGGTTGCCATGTCGATGTGATCAGACAGCTGGCAGGCTGGAGGAAATTGGTCTTGTAGCTGTTTGTTGCGGTGCCAACCAGAGAGATGGGTGGTGAATGGAGTCCTGCTGTTCCTGCAGGGAGCTGACAGAGGGAGTCAGCGCGCTGTGCTGCAGCGCTGACCTAATCTGATCTCAGACGCCAGGATATGAGGCGAGGGACAAAACCATTTCCTGAAGCCTCGTGTTTCTATGGTTACAGCAGAGAGCTGCCCTCTTCGCTGGACACTCTGTCTGCATGTTTGTTTGAGATCATCTTTTTTGATTATTAAAAAAAGCAGTCAACTGGAGATTTAGAATTTTTTTATTCCCCCCCTTAATCGGCAAAGCTGTGTTCACACAAATCGTCATGGGAAGATAATGAGAATTACACACTGTTTTATAATTGCTTTCAATCTTACATGCATCTAGTTATCGGATGAGATTTGCAAGAAGGGCTTATTTCTGCTGTGGTAAAAACTTCCAGACAATGATTTACGCTGATTCCCTGTGTTTGACCGCACGCTACTGTTAGGTGATGGTTTGAGCACATTTAATTCTGCATAATCACAGTTTAGCTGAAAACAGGAACAGGCGAATTTCTGCAGAAACTTTGAAATCCACTGCCTAATTAAACACTGTAAGCATTTTGTGTTACTTTCGCAGCTGCTCAGCAGTGTTTTTGCATACAGATGGCTAATAATGACTGCAGAAGAAAGGCGTGGTGCAGAACTTACATAAGGAAGCTGACTTAGTCATTTTTCTAGTATTTTTCTTCAAAAAGAGATTTTTTTGGTCACATTTTATTGAAAGAATGCTTCGGGTAAATTTTTTCTCTGTATAAAGAGGGACTAAATGTTATCAGTTTCTGAGTTAGAAACATATTAATTTTGAGTTAATTGAGACCAAGAAGACTTGACGTTCTCAAGATTATCAGGAGATTCCACTGAATTATGTTTTTGTTGCGTTCAAAACCTGTCAGATTAAGATCTGACAGGTTTTGAACGCAATCTGGGAAACATCTGGATTTCAGCAACCAAACTTTAGCTAATATATACTAATGATAGTATTCAAATAAAAGGGTCTTAAAATATCCATGGTACTTGAACTGGACATAATTTTTAAGCTTTATTAAAAAACTGTAAAGGGAAACCATTTTTTTTTGCCATTTTAAAGGAAAAAATAGCTTTGTACTTATTTTACAGAGGAAATCTATTACATTATAGATGGATTCGATGTAATCGATCGAAATAAAATATTAATAGATGTAGAATGGAAAATTACATACACTTTTGAATGCTTTTTACAAATAGAAACCCAGTAAAAGTATTGAATCAATTTCTAATCCAGTAAATCAACTAGTTTCAGGGATCACCTATTATGTATAATTACTGAGAAGGCCTCAAAAGTTTGTTTAACATTAGCAAACAGAAACTTGCACAACAAGGAACCCAGCAAAAGGTCAGGGAGAAAGTTAGAGAGAAGTTTTAAGTTTAGTAATGTTATAAAAACATCCAAAGCTTAAAAAAAAACAAAAAACCTTAAAGCTCTATGTCCAACCAATCATCTGAAAAATTATAAGGAGAAAAAAAGAATTGTTGACTAGACAATAATCTGCTTTGATGGAAATATGTCAGGAAGGCAGCCGTTATTGAAAAGCTGGCAGGAAAACTTGAAGTTGCCGTTGGCAACGAGCCCCGTTGGGGACACAGTTAACATTTAGATAAGGTCAAGACTGAACTTTCTGGCTCAGAATAACGGCACGGTGTGCACTCGTATACTGTAGGAACCAGAGTGAGGACCATTTTCCCAATTTCACCATCAAAATGAGGACTAGCTGTTGTAAAGTGAGGACATTTAGCTGATTCTTACAAGGTATTTTGCTAATGATTAGGTTTAGGGCTAAGATTTCGATTTTGGGTTAGGCTGAGGTATGCATTGCTAATAGTTAAGTTTAGGGTTAGTTTTAGAGTAAGTGCATAGAAAGGTTTGAACCTCATTGAGCTTCATCTGGAGCACACCCAGACCCAGTGACACATGGTAGTGGCAGCATCATGCTTTGGGGATGCTCTTCTTCAATAAACTGATCCACGCTCAAATCTGATGAGAATCTAAACTAAAGCTATTCTGCTAAGAAAAAAAAAAAAACACAAAAATTTAATGTTAAAATGCTGGAAGAAAGATGAAATCCAAAAGATCGCAACAACTGGGCTCTGTGTAGCACTAAGTCAGGGGCCTGGATACAAATGCACACCAGACTTTTTGGGATTTTTCTAATTATATTTCCCTTATTTTTTATAATAACATTTTCTGGAACTTCACAATTATTTACCACTTTTCATTTAGTATATCACCGGGAAATTCGAGTAGTTGTGACTAAATCAAAATAAAATTTAAGTTCAGGAATGAAAATTGATCCGCTGTTGATATTTCATACAAAGAAATGCTTTTCTAATGTTTGTTTAGTGAATCAAAGGTTTGAATTTTTTTTTTTTGCGTATTTATTTGAACACCCCCTTTCCAAAAAAAATATAGAATATAGCAACAATGGATAGTTAGATTGACTAGATGGTAATAAAGGTTTCTATAATATTTTTAGTGTATTAGCATAGTCATTTACATTTCCTTATGATTTCTGATTTTGAAGGCATATTTGATCTGCTTATTGAATTCTGGTGAATGTTTTAAGTATTTGTACTATTACTGTCTATTAATAATGTTGTTTTTTCAGTTTGTTTCATCAAACATGTCTCTCTTGAAAATGAGAAAGAGCTCATTTGAACTGAGATAGACCTCTAAGAAAGTGCATCAAATAATTTCTATACCACTGCAGAAATCTGTATCTGAGCAGAAGAATGACTGAAATACAGCACTGACCAGGCCCTAGCTTAGCCACAGCGCAGAGCAGGTCATAGTTGATAACGGGCGTGGCATCTTCGCTCTGACTCCAGCCCACAGGCGGGGAGGCGGGTGGCGAGATCAGAAACTGTTTGACTGGTTGGGGAGGTGCCAGGTACGACTTGTCGATATCCTCCTCGCCGTTCTGGATCTGTTGTACAGAGAAATGGACACATTAACATGAAAACGAGATGCGGCGTGGGAGGAAATGAAAATCCACACCGAGAAAAAAAACATCATATTCCTCCATAATCTGTGAAATAGCAGGATTTTAAATTCAAAACAGAAAAAAAATATTATTTTCAGAAAGCTGTCAGATCGCTTGAGTTTCTTTAAGAGCCGTTTTATGGCAAAAAAAGTCACAGTTTGAGCCCTTCTTATGCGTAATGTCAGACTTGCTCCTATAAAGGGATTTTTGGCGTTTTGATAGCTTCCAATTGCTGTAATTACAATTCCTACATGAAGCCTTTGTCTGAGCTCCGAAATCCATAATCCTCTTACGTCAAAGTACAAGAAGGTGTTGCAGGGTCATAGCAGGTGGAGCTTTTTGGAAAAAAAAGAACTCCAATTTGACTCAGGCTGACATAATTTCCAATGAAGCACAGCTCTGGAGTCAACGCAGCTGAACTGTTCTGCTAATTTTATTTATACTTAGACCAAACCAGAGGCAGAACACAATCTAAAACACAGGCGTCCTCAACGCACGGGTCTCCTGTCCCTTTGTTTCCAGATACTCACTTGAGCAAAGTACAGTTTTAGCTTCTCGCCGTTGAACTCGGACTCGTGCAGCTCGATGCGGGCGCGGGCAGCTGCCTCTGGGGTGCTGAAGTTGATCCGGACTCTCCTGAAGCTTTTGAACAACTGGAAGGTGACCTGGTCATCGTAGATCCTGAACAGCGCCTCAAACCTCTCCTACAGAAAATAAAAACAAAAAAATTTTCAATGGCCAGCTAGATCTCTTGTGCGTTGGCAAAATTAACTTAAAGAAAAATACAGCATAGTTTAAAAATAGTGACAATTCAGATTGTTCGTGTTTAGCATCTGTTTAGATCAGGTCACCTGCAGCTGACCTGGATTATATTCCCTTTTCATTCCAATAATCCATAGTTTATCATTAGAAAATTAAATTTTGAATGTTCTGAATTTTATTGAATATAAAGCTGAAAAAAAATCTCTGAACTTGTTGGCATCACAAAGAAGACTGTGTTTGACTGGAAAATGTCAGATAAGCTTTTCTCATCTGCTGGATAAAATGATCATTAGGTTTGTGCATGACTGTTTTTTTGTTTTTTTACTTGAACAACCTGATAAAATTACAGCTCATCCTCATGCATTTAATCAGCAATCCCTTCAGTAGCAAACTAAAGAAGAACATAGCAATTTTAGGGGCACATATTTAATTCTTTATGCAGATTAAAGTTGCAAAGCTTTCCCATTAAAATGAGGAGCCTGATGACTGCTGCTATATGTGTTGGGGCATTAGTTAAGCTGTTCAACAGACACCGACGTTTCAGGGATCCAGTGATGATAATGTTTGTTTTACTCCTCAATTCAAACTAGACTAACCAACTTCTTATTTTTTAATTTTAAATAAACTCACTTATTTAATATTTAAACTGATTTTTGTGTGGCTTCAGGTTAAAAGGGAGTTTGCAGTTAGAGGAGAGATTAGTATAAATGTTGAACAATTTTATTTTAAACAACTTTATTTTAATTAACCTTGTAATACTTTAAAACGTGGCAGCTGTTTTGACGACACAGAGCATCAGACTATTTGTTTTTTAGTTAAACAAAAATATTTCAATACATGAGGAACGTTTTCTGCTTTGGAAATAAGACTAAAGTAACATTATGTTCATTTATCAGGGACAATGATGACATATGATGATATTACTTTAACTTTGATCTCAACTTGCATCATTTGCATCAATAATCCTGAATTTGCTTCTTCCCAATTTCAAATCTTGTTCTGCAAAAACTTAAACTAACTCAGTAGATCAACAAAAAAAATATCAATCTGTGACACCAGGGGATTAAACTGATACATGAAGGTCTTACACAAAGGTGAACATAAGACCCCAATCATTTTTAACTCTCAGACATAAGGTTACAATGACTAACTCATCTCATTTCTGGATTTTTGTTGCTATCAATGACTTAATTAAGCCATTTTTACTGTAAAATCTAGAGTCTTTAAAATATGACACGTATTAAGCTCCATTCTTTGATATTCCTTATTCAATAAATACATTAAATGATGTTATTAATCTAGGAGAAAAACTAATTTCACCTTTTTTGTCATTAAATTGGAACGTTCTGAATTCTCTCTGCTCATCTCCGTCATCCTCCTCAGGCACAGGCCTTTAGTTTATGCTGTACTTCTAATTTGTCTCCTCGGGCACCAAACTGCCCTCCTCTGCAGTGAACTCAATCAAGCAGCTCAGCAGGAGGGCAAAAAGGAAGACAGCCACCAGGAGGGCTTATTTCTGAGTAATCAGTGGTGCTATTCCCTGCTTCCCTCTTGGTCAACTTTTAGCCAAGCTGGTAGCTTTGAATTATCGGAATGGTCGTTCGGAAATGGTTGATGGTCAGGTAGCTGTGATAGAAGACATGCTTGCTTACATCTACAGCCGTCACAAAAACATGTCGACAATTTGCACATCATGTTTGGATTGAAGACTGGATTCTCTGAAGACATCTGTACAGATGTCTTTGGTTTTTCGTGTATATATTACAGATAATCAAATAAATTTGAATATGAAACAAAGATAACCAAAGTTAAAATAAAAAGGGGTTGTTAATGATGATTTTCTTTACTGGGGGAAAAAAGCTACCAAAGCCAACCAAGCCCAAATTGGAGATGTAATTACCTTTGCTTTGTTAAATAATAAATTAACAGGGAATAGCTTTGTTGAATATTACCATCTACACCCACTGCTCATTACTGCAAAATCAATGCACCTGAACCCGTTTGATGACCTGATACAGGCTAAAAGGTCATGCATGTCATGCTCTGAATAACTTAATGTCACGAACTAAGATCCAGGGAATGGTTCTGTTGCAAAGTGGCTGAAAAGTCCATAAAAACAAAGGATGAACCGTGATTCGAAAATGAAGAAAACATGGCACTGTGGGTAATCTTCCCAGGAGTAACAGCCTGATGGAAACGGCTCAAAAAGCTCATCAACAACCATCCAGCAGGTCACAAGGAAGCTTGATTTAAACCTAAGTAATGCTGCAGGACATTAAAACAGACAATTATTGTTCAAAAACTCCCCGTTATGCTAAATTAATATTCTGCAAAGAAGAATGTGCCAAAGGTGGAACAACCAACCCGCAGGTTCAGATGTAAATAAATCCTTTCCACATTGGACCATGTTGAATTGCACAGCCTTTTTTTCCCACTTTAAAAATAAATCATCTTTTGATTTATTACACATTTTAAAAAATCTGTAAGATGGGTGATATTTTCGATTCTTGATAGAATTAGTAGATTACCATAAACTGGCCGGTCTGCTGATCTCAAAGCAATGTCAACTAATTTCCAGCGGGCTGAGGTCGGGGCTTTGGGACGATCATTGTGCAAACTAACCAGGGAGTTTTGGTTCATTGTCCTGTTTGAAGAGAGCTTAAGATATGAAGGGAATCTGAAAACTTTAAAGATGGTTCTGCATGATGCTCCCATCACCATGCTTTGCAGTATTCTTGGTTTTTAAAATCTTGTTTTGAATCCTACACAAAGTGTTATTACCATATTTCACTCATTTGACGACTAAACTTCTCTCTGTAAAAATAGCAAAACACTTTTCATAATAGGATTTAGAGTCAGATGAGTAAAGAAAACAAATCCTCAGGTTCCGCATGACCTGAGAGCCACATGTTTGCAATCTGTTGCATTACAGTCAATTGGTGTCCAGTGCTCTTCAATCAGCTCCTAATTCTGTTACTGCCTTGCAGCTCTTCTTTAAACAGATGTTCTGTTTTTGCCAAATGTTCAGAGGATTTAAAATTGTCCCTCTTTCAGCTTGTGAAGGCACCTCTCACCAGGATGCAAAAGGAAAACAAGCAACACCTCAGGATCTGCCTGGAGACAACAGGCATCTTTAAACGTCTCCCTTTCAGATCAGTGTTGGACTTTTACCCATTTCCCTCTGTAATATATATATTTTTTTTAATCACCTTAGTCTGTATACATGATTCAAATTCTTCACCAAAAGCAACATTGATGTTAGATTTGCAATAACAAGCTGCAGGGAAAAGGAAACATCTGACAAATCTGAGAAGACTTAAGAACAGTATATTTAGGCTTTCATATATAGACACACGACTCGTTGCATTTGCATGTTGTAAAGTCGTTCCACCATGGAAAAGGGCAGCTCAACGACCACTTTTGGTATGAGAGCGACTCTATTCTAAGTTAACAGCTTTCTCTCCATATGGACATCACATCATCAACGTCTCTGACGCACTGAGCGGTAGATGATTCAGCAAACTGAACCAGAACTATAGTACACTCTGTGTTGTTCATCATGGTCAAATAATTAGGACATTTGAAACATGCATAAGTCTGTCTACTTTAGCTCCTTTTCCTTCCTTTCTTGGTTCTCTCTGCTTTTCTTCTCCCCGTGAGAAGATCTTTTTCTCCCATTTCAATGCCTTTATACAGCTGGCCTAACTGTAGAGCTGGACTGACCTTCTAATCCCCATCGTTCCATTTTTAGGTTACACTCTGGCTGCCCATGAGTCCTGGAGGAAAAGGGGTCAAATCAGGAAAAAATGTGAAAAATGTCCTCGAAATGGTAATGCGAATATCAAAAATAATAGAAAAAAAACTAATCTAAATTACAAAAAAGTCCACAGCGTGGTCCTTTCAAATCCACCCACCCATCCATCGTTTGAATATGCTTTGAAAAAATAAAAAATGGTTTCATAACAACTATAATAGAAGCAGAGATCTGGATATTTGAATTAAAGTCCTTTAGCAGGGTGGTTAGAATCCAAACAATAACACATTTTTAAAATCATGGAGCAATGAATTTATTTGAAAATGCTTTATTAGAATTTATTAATAGGTTATAGCTAAGGGTTAATCTTTTTTTCAACCAATTAGTTGTAGATAGCTGTAGGCAGGAGGGATCTCCTGTAGCTATCTGTCTTGCAGCACTTCTGGGGAAGCATTTGAGAGAAAACACTGTTATTTACGGTAACAGCTTCATGAGGAGGATATTAATGGTTCTTTATAATGTTCTTCATCTTATGAATAATTATTTTTTGTAAAATTATCTCCAAAGGTTTTAGATGAGTTCACAGAACAGAACCAGCCTTTTTTTAAATCAACTTGTTGATCTTCTTTAAGTCAATAGCTCTGATGTTGTTACGCCAGCAAACAATGTAGGGAGAGATCCCACTCTCCACAACAGACTTATAGAAGATATGCAGCATCTGGCTGCAAACACTGAACCTCTTAAGGAGGCTAAGTTTCTTCAGTCTGCTCTGTCCCTTCTTGTAGACGGCTTCACAGTTGCGTCTCCAGTTGAGTCTGTTATCCATGTGAACATGGATATCAGAAGGAAGTGGTGACCTAATGGTTAGGGCATTGCACTTGGAATCCAGAGGTTCTGAGTTTGACACCCACTCCCACAGGCCGCCACTATGGGTCCCGCACAACGGCAGCCCACTGCTCCCCAACGGGTTGGGTTAAATGCAGAGAAATGATTTTGTTGCTCTGTACTTGTGAAAGTGTAATGACAATAAAACGCTGGTAAGGGAAAAAAAGGAAAAAAAATACATGTTCTTCTAACAAATCCACTTTCTCCTTCAAGAATACTTGACTTGATCCAGTTTCTTCTGAAGTCTACAATCATCTCCTTGTTATATTCACATTTACAGTTAATCTACATCAGGGGTGGGCA